GGGTCTTGCTCGGAGGGCAAGTGGGGCGCGCGCTGGGTAGAGCTGGGGGCACGAGATGGGCCTGGTGGGCTGAGGGCAAGAGTTGAGAGGTGGAGAGAATGTGTTGTTACGGTGGGAGAGTGTACTTGGAAAATCCGGGGGAGCCACGGGTCCTGGTGAGGTGCGGACCCCGGGGTGATGAGCAAACCTGGAGTCGGGGCTATGCGGTGCGGGGCAGCAAGGGAGTCAGGCCTGAGATCTGAACCCCCTTGTGGATTCCTCTCGTCACAGTGTAAATGAGCAAAGATGGATCAGGAAGGTGGGGGAGATGGGCAGAAGACCCCGAGCTTCCAGTGGCGAAACTACAAGCTCATCGTGGACCCTGCCCTGGACCCTGCCCTGCGTAGGCCTTCTCAGAAGGTGTACCGCTACGATGGAGTCCACTTCAGTGTCAACGTGAGTGCCCAGCCTGTCCTGCCCCCGGAGCCTCCCGGCCCCTTCTCCTGGGGGCTGCTCAGCGCCCAGCACGCCCCTGTCCAGAGCCTGCCCCCGAAAAAGCGGTTCACCTAACCCAGCTCCTTTGCATATGGGTCTCCAAACGGGCTTAGAGCTCAACGTGTGGTTTCACCTTGAGCTGTCTTTCTGTTCCTGCTTTCCTTCCTAGGACTCAAAGTATATTCCAGTCGAAGACCTGCAAGACCCCCGTTGCCACGTCAGGTCCAAAAACAGAGACTTTTCCCTCCCGGTCCCTAAGTTTAAGGTACGTGTCTGCTGGTGCCGTGGTGTGGCCCTCGGAGGGTGTGCAGGCTCCATCCTGGCCGTCTCGTCTGAATGTCGCTGAATAAGAGAGTTTTCCAGTGACAGGATCACGGCCAGGTCTGACCGTCTGTGAGGCTGTGGGACTGAGTTGTTCTGGACAGGAAATCTATTTATCTTCCGTGGGTGAGGTGTCCCAAGCAGGGGGTTGACTCCTTGAATGACATAAAGATGTGTTTAGCTGCTGTACTTACCACTATGTATTCCTAGACAGTATATGTATTCCTTGACAGTGCTCTGGTCTGATACCCCAGTTTCCCAACAGATAAGGGGGTGATAAGGCCAGGGGCTCCATCCCTGGAGTCCTCGGTTCCTCCCCTCTCCTTTGGCCATTTGATCCTCCACCTTGTGTCGGAGGATTCCCATGTCTCTGTCCAGGCAGGATACTCATCGGGCCTTGGGCTGGGCCTAGAAAACGGCTGGTTCTTGGTTCTCCTCACTAATTCTTTCTTCTTCACTTTTAAATAAATCATTTGCGGGGTTCCCTTACCCCTTTTTTCACTTTGTACACTTTCCCTGGACAATCTCTTTCACATCCATTATTTTGACTATTACCAAAATGTTCATGATTCTAAATCTCTGTTTCTAGCCGAGATCAGTCTCGAACTTCAAACGTGTATGCCTGGTAGTGGGAAGCTCCATCAGGAGGCCCCACAGACCTCTCAGGTTCGAGACATCACAAGCAAATGATCTTTACCCCTTTAATCCTGCTCTCCCTCCACCTACTTAGCTGCACGAGCTAGAAACCTGGCCGTCATCCTAGGATTCTCCTTTCCTTTATCTATCACATAATCTGTCACAAAGTCCTGCCGACCCTTTTTCCTAAACCATTTTATCTGAATTACTCTGTTTCCATTGCTGTATCTTTCATACATGCTCTTGTATTCATCTCACCTGGTTTCCTGGCTTCCGTTCTCTTCACGTTCCACCCTGCTGTCCTTGTCGCTTTAATGTTACTGTTCTCTTATTTTACTTTTGCTGCCAAGTCCATGTTTTTGTGCATTGACATTTATGATTATTGAGCTGGTCAAGCCTCATCTCCTGCCTTGATACTGCTCACCTGTGTTCCATCCTCTATACACTCCTCAGTTTCTAGGAAATGCTAAGTTACTTCATAATTTCATGGCCTTTTACCAGTAAGTCCTTGTAATTTTGGTGAACTCCTATTTATCCCAAAAGCCCAGTACGAATGACATCATCTGTATGAATGCTTCCCTGCTCCTCTCTGGACTCCCAGACACCCCCTGTACCCCTCTGCCGACACTCACCGCCATGTCATAATTGTTTGTGTCTCTGTCTTGTCTATTTTTCTGACCAGGAATCTCCTTTTTTTTTTCATCTCTATATTCCTAGTGCCCGATCCATGGTAATTACTTAGTAAAAACAGAGTTAGTGGGATTTCTTTACATCTAGTTTCTTCCATGTGTGTTTATTTCTCAGTTCATACCTTTCTTTTCCTGGTTCTTGCCATTATTCTGTGGTGAAAAGAATTCGAGAGAGAGAGGGATTGAGACTGATGAATCCCTTGTTGGGGTCCCCTGCCCTTGCCCCTGAGTTTCCCAGTCCTCTCTCTCTCGATCTCATGGGTCTCTCTAAAGTTTCCCAAAGGAAAAAGTATTCCGACCCCAGACTTCGCTCTTGTCCTCTCCACAGCTGGATGAGTTCTATATTGGGCAGATCCCTCTGAAGGAAGTGACTTTTGCCAGACTGAACGACAACGTGCGGGAGACCTTCCTGAAGGACATGTGCCGGAAGTATGGCGAGGTGGAGGAGGTGGAGATCCTTCTCCATCCCCGCACTCGCAAGCACCTGGGCCTGGCCCGAGTGCTCTTCACCAGCACTCGGGGAGCCAAGGAGACGGTCAAAAACCTCCACCTTACCTCCGTCATGGGCAACATCATCCACGCCCAGCTCGACATCAAAGGTGAGGGTCCCCCGCCTGCTGCCAGGCTGGGCTCTGGCAGAGATTGGACATGGGAATGCCGGTTGGAGTCAGCTGTGTGATCAGGTTCATGATTCCTCATCGGAAACTCTCGGGGCCGGATGGGTTTCTGAAATCAGAATTTTACAAAGGGATTGTGGGACACGTATTTTTTGTGTGTATTCAGCATCATTTGGGCTGCACCAGCATATGACTATTTTTGTAAGAAAGTGTATGAAGGGTCACACTAGGTTGGACAATAAAAATTAGAGTAAATAGCCCTGGCTGGTTCCGCTCAGTGGAAGGGTCTCAGGTTTGATTACCGGTCAATGGCACGTACCTCATTGCAGGGCGTGTGTGGGAGGCAACCAGTCGACATATCTCTCTCGCATCAATGTCTCTATCTGTTTCTATCTTTCTCTCTCCCTTCCTACCTCTTCCCCCGACTCCTCTCCCTCCCTTTCACTGTCTTTGAAAAAAATCAATGGCAAAAATATCCTCAGGTGAGGATTAAAAAACAAACTAGACTAAATAGCTTCAGCTCAGGTCAGGTTTTGACACTAAATTCCCCAAAATACTAGGTTTTGAAACTTTGGATGGAGAATTAGAGACCTGTATGTATACTAGTAGGTAAGTGAAGGAAGCAGTCTGTTAGGAATCATAGGGAAGGGCTGTGGCATGCTGTAGCACAGTGCCATCTAAAGGAGACAGCTGTTAGTTGGCATTAGCCAATTTGCAAGTGGGAATGAGGACTAATATTGCCAAATAATCTGTGTTTTTTTTAAATTTTAAAGCAAGAAATCAAGGTTTTTGTATCAGATCTCATGATTTTAAAATGTTACATCCCCCCCTCGCCCCCCAAAAAATTTTTAAGTGATTATGTGAGGCAAATAAAACTTGGTTTTTGCAACCCTAAGTTTATAGGATGAAGAATACGATAGGATCTAGCATTAGACAACCTGGGTCTGAATTTGAGTTCTGCTACTAATTGACTTTGTGCAGGTCAGTTTTCTTTAAACCTGTAAAGTATAGGTGTCCTGATGCTTTTCCCTTCTGGTGATCATTCAGTGTAGTAACATGTAGAAGAAACCGTGACGTGTTGTATATATGCCATTTGTAGTAGTTGTTACGTGGAGATAAGGTAGAAGGTCCCAGATACAGAGATAGGGAAGAATTGAAGTCCCCAAACTCAAGATCAACTCGAGGCCTGAGGAATAAGTGGGAAAACGTATTAGGAAGGAGTTGTTTTCTCTCTCTGACTCTGTTGGTTCCCATTTCTCTCCCTCTAGGACAACAACGAATGAAGTACTATGAACTGATTGTCAATGGCTCCTACACCCCTCAGACCGTGCCCACTGGGGGCAAGGCCCTGAGTGAGAAGTTCCAGGGCCCTGGTGCAGCCGCTGAGACGGTGAGAAGCTTGTGGTTGCCATAGCCCTAGCCATGTGGGCACAGTCCCTGAGTGCCAGGACCAGGCTTTGGGAGGCTCTGGACTTCACTGCTAAGTATAGGAAGAGCCAAGAAAAGATGCCTAGATGCTTTCAAATGACAGGCAACTGGGATTCTCCGTTTGGGGAAGGGTGAGTTGTTAAATGGTAATTGATCTCTTTTCCTTTCTCCCTGCTCCACTCTCCCCTCCAGACTGAGTCCCGCCGCCGCGCCTCCTCTGACACAGCTGCCTACCCAGCAGGCACTGCTGTGGTGGGCACTCCTGGCAATGGCACCCCCTGCTCCCAGGACACAAGCTTCTCCAGCAGCCGACAAGACACCCCATCTTCCTTCGGCCAGTTCACCCCTCAGTCCTCCCAAGGAACCCCCTACACGTCTCGGGGCAGCACCCCCTACTCTCAGGACTCTGCCTACTCCAGCAGGTACCAGAGTAAACACCCTTTGGGACCCCCAGATTCTGGGAGCTGCCACTGGAAAGAAGAAACAAAGTTGAAAAGGGAGTTGGGAAGAATTTGTCCTAGTTTGTCTGTGGATTCAGCCAGCAAAGCCCTGTCCTCAGGGAACTCGCTCTAGCTAGGAGCCCAACAGCATTTAGATCTTCCTTTCGGGACAGCGTAGAAGGGCTTGGGACTGAGAATTGGGACCCTAGGGTTGGTCACACAGAGCTGAACCCAGCTAACTCCTGCATCTTTTCTCCAGCACCACTTCAACCTCCTTCAAGCCCCGGCGGTCCGAGAACAGCTACCAAGATTCCTTTTCCCGCCGCCATTTCTCTGCGTCTTCAGCCCCCACGACCACCTCTGCAGCCATCTCTGCCACCACTGCAGCCACCGCCACCTCGGCCACCTCTTCCTCCTCATTGTCCTCGTCCTCCTCGTCCACTTCTTCCTCATCCTCTCATTTTCGTGGTTCTGACTCAAACTACCCAGCATATTATGAAAGCTGGAATCGCTACCAACGCCATTCTTCCTACCCACCCCGCCGGGCAACTCGGGAGGAACCCCCCGGGGCACCTTTTGCTGAAAATACAGCTGAGCGCTTCCCACCTTCCTACACCTCCTATTTGCCCCCTGAGCCCAGCCGCCCCGCTGACCAGGACTACCGGCCTCCTGCCTCAGAGGCTCCACCCCCGGAGCCTCCAGAACCTGGTGGAGGTGGTGGTGCTGGGGGGCCCAGCCCTGAGAGGGAAGAAGCTCGGACCTCCCCCCGCCCAGCCTCACCGGCCCGCTCCGGCTCCCCAGCCCCGGAGACCACCAACGAGAGTGTGCCCTTTGCTCAGCACAGCAGCCTGGATTCCCGCATTGAGATGTTGCTGAAGGAGCAGCGCTCCAAGTTTTCTTTCCTGGCCTCTGACACAGAGGAGGAGGAAGAGAACACCACAGGCCCTGGGGCTAGAGACACGGGGATTGAGGTGCCTTCTGGTTCAGGTCACGGGCCCTGCACGCCGCCTCCAGCCCCAGCTAATTTTGAGGATGTGGCACCTACAGGGAGTGGGGAACCAGGGGCGACCCGGGAGTCTCCCAAGGCCAACGGACAGAACCAGGTGAGGTTGGGGTCAACCAGCGGGGATACCTGGGATCAGGGAGGCAGGGTTGAGCCCAGGGGGTGAGGGAAGGGAACTAGATGAGAACGGACTTGAGGAAAAGCCCAGGGAACAGGCAGAAGCTTTCTGTGACCCTCCTCTGCACCCCTACAGGCGTCTCCATGCTCTTCTGGAGAGGACATGGAGATCTCCGATGACGACAGGGGCGGCTCACCCCCTCCGGCCCCAACCCCCCCCCAACAGCCTCCCTATGACTTTGTGAACTCCCTAGAGCTCATGGATCGACTTGGGGCTCAGTGGGGAGGAATGCCCATGTCCTTCCAGATGCAGACCCAGATGTTAACTCGGCTCCACCAGCTGCGGCAGGGCAAGGGATTGACTGCTGCCTCGGCTGGTCCCCATGGTGGGGCCTTTGGGGAGGCCTTCCTCCCATTCCCACCCCCACAAGAGGCAGCCTATGGCTTGCCCTATGCTCTGTACACACAAGGGCAAGAAGGCCGAGGGGCATATTCCCGGGAGGCTTACCACCTGCCTTTGCCCGTGGCAGCTGAGCCCCTGCCCTCTTCACTCTCGGGAGAGGAGGCCCGACTACCTCCAAGGGAGGAAGCAGAGCTGGCAGAGGGCAAGGCCCTGCCGGCAGCAGGCACTGTGGGCCGCGTGCTGGCCACCCTCGTCCAGGAGATGAAGAGCATCATGCAGCGAGACCTCAACCGCAAGATGGTGGAAAATGTGGCCTTTGGCGCCTTTGACCAGTGGTGGGAGAGCAAGGAAGAGAAGGCCAAGGTGAGGGCCAGTGCCTGGGACTAGGGAAACTTGGGGCTCCACACAGCTCAAAATAGGAGGAGGGTCAGGCACGTGGACAAGACTGGGACACTGGTTGGACGGGATTGAGGCACAGAGAGCAGTAGGGAAGTGTGAGCCTGAGAGTCTGAAGAACTGTGTCCTGGCTCCACTGCTTCCTTGCAGTGGACAAGGCCGCTCAGCATCTGTGGGCTTCAGTCTTCAGTGTCTTCATGTGTAGAGTGGGAAGGATAGGAGCTGCTTCCTAAGATGGATGGGACTAAGTGAGCAGACTTGTGAGGAAGTGCCTCTGCAGGGGCTGGTGCAGGGGAGGTGGCACAGATGTGCATCAGATGGAGGAGTGAGTAGATGCAGTTCTCTTTTCCTGCGGCCTGGGCGTAGTTCCCAGGCAGGAGGCAGGAGGGAGCACCTGGGTTCTGAGGCTCAGCCCCCCTCCTGCCTGCAGCCATTCCAGAACGCAGCCAAACAGCAAGCCAAGGAGGAAGATAAAGAGAAGACAAAGCTCAAAGAGCCAGGCCTGCTGTCCCTCGTAGACTGGGCGAAGAGTGGGGGTACCACAGGCATCGAGGCCTTCGCCTTCGGGTCAGGACTGCGGGGGGCCCTGCGGCTGCCTTCTTTCAAGGTACCGGAACTGTGGCCTTGCCTGGGAGGGTGGGGACAGGGCATCCCCTCCTTGGGACAACGAGTGTCTGAGGTCTAAACGGGCTCTGTCTCTCCCCATCCCGCAGGTAAAACGAAAAGAGCCTTCAGAAATTTCCGACGCCAGTGAGGAAAAGAGGCCGCGGCCTTCCACTCCCGCTGAGGGAGACGAAGATGGTGAGTGGGAAGGTCGGGTAGAAGGAGAAAGGGGAAAGGTTATTTAGATTCTGATAGGAAAGCAAGAGGCAGGGATGAAGGTGTCTTAAAGGCAAAGAGCCAGGTGGAGATTTTGGTAAAAGGTTAAAATAAAGCAGTTTTGAGAGATGTGAAAAGCTTCAGATGGGACAGTCCTGGATTTTAGTTACGGTTTTTACACTGGTATGTTGATTTAAGTTTTCTGTATTTTAATTTTCCTTTTATAAAATAGGAATAATAACTTTCACATCAAAAGATCACAGAATTTCAAGGTTAAATAGGTTAAGCTCTTGTATGTCTTCTTACCAATTTGCCTAAGTTTAAGCTATTGGTTGACAGCTTGTGTCTGGAAAACTTCCTAATTGAGTCTGATCTGCTTCCCTGGAAGCTCATTGGCCTTAGCAGTATTTTCTTGGGCCAGGCATCTGCCCAACCCAGAAAACAGTGAAAGATAAAATGAGTGTGATATGTTTAAAACTGTAAAATATAAGGTATTGCTGAGGGTTTTGTGCTAAACTTCAGCTTCGTGCCTATAAAACGAGGTCTGTCTGGTGGGCCTCGGGGAGGGTCAGCGACAGTGTACGCACAGCTCCTCTCACGGGCCGAGAAATGGTAACTTCCTGCCGATGGCACATTGTCCTAACTGCTCTCACCCGGGCCAGACCCTGAGCGAGAGAAGGAGGCCGGAGAGTCAGGGCGTGCAGGGACCAAGCCCCACAAGCGAGATGAAGAGCGAAGCAAGACCCAGGGCAAGCACCGCAAGTCCTTTGCTCTGGACAGCGAGGGGGAGGAGGCATCCCAGGAGTCCTCCTCGGAGAAGGTGAGGAGCCAGGGCACCCGGTCCCTGCCAGGAGCCTCCTTCCTGTGCTCCTGTGCCCATGGCCACTTCCCTGTGGGCTGGAACCAGGCAGCTGTGCCTTCTAGAGGACCAGTTGCCCTTTTCCTGTTAGTCCCTGTTTATCCCTTTCCTTGAGGAGGAGGAGGAAGATGAGGAAGATGAGGAAGATGATGATCATGAGGAAGCCATGGGTACTGCAAAGAAGGAGACAGAGGCCTCAGATGGTAAGCACAGACAGTACAGTAGAATTCTGGGCGGGGAGAAAGGGGTCTGCCACCTGCCTCCTCCTTTTCTGAACCCATGTGTTGCTGCTGGATTTGTTGGCCACCGTTGTCCTCCCCCAAAACAGCTACCCTTTGGTACCCTCAGCCCATTGTAAACAACGACCCCGACACCCAGAACGTTCTCTCCTGCTTACCTCTGCTCCTGAAACAAGGCTGTCCCCTGAAGACATCCCAATAGAGCCTATTTCTTTTCCCAGGCCCTTGAAATAAGAGGTTGCATTCTCTTGCTGCCCTTTGATGCTATCAGAGCGAGCCTTTCCATCTTTGAGCTCTGGTCTTCCTTTAAGGCTCAGCTACTGAGCCATGCCTCCCTCTTCTCCCTGCCGCTGCCATTACCAGATACAGTTGTGCTCTTTGGTTGAATACCTGTTTGTTCCTCCACATTTATTGAGGCTTGGGTACATGGTTTAGTCTTTCTTTTCATTCCTTTGTTTAGAAATATATAGGATAGGGGAAAAGTCAGGTTTACAGTTGTTTGTACGGAAAGTAATCCAAAATAATAATAAAAGAATAAACTGTTTCACATACTCGCAACTTGTAAACCTACTTTTGATCCACCCTGTACATTGAGCCCCTGTTCTGCCAGGCACTGTCCTAGGTGTTGGGGACACATCAGTGACCGGGAGGGGGAGACTTGGCAAACAAGTGAACAAATAGTAGCACTTGAGATACAGATATGTGTTTTGAAGAAGATAGAATAGGTTAATGAGGCAGAGAGTAACAGGGTGGGAGAACTGGGGAAAGATGGACTGTTTATATCTGATGGTGCCATTTCTGCAGAGGCCAGATCGGGGAGACTGATGGTCTGAGAGCCTCTTTTCAGTAAAGCGCGGGCAAAGTTCCTGCCAGGAGCGCGTGTGTGCGGCCCCTGCACATCCACTTGGTCCGGACGCCTTCCGGTTTCACCACCTCCGTGTTTCTCGAATTGTCTCCTGAGATCCTGCTGGCCTGCCTTTCTCACTTAGAGGCTGCAGCAGTTTTGAATGATTTTCCTGTCTCCGTTTCCATTCTTCCCTCCACTCCCAGCCATTTTCCAGCCTGTTGATGGAAATGCACACTGGGCTCTCTGTAAAGTCCTTTGCTGGCTCCCTGTTTTCCACAGGTGGTCCTCAGCCTGACACTGTAGGCCATTTATAATCCAGCTCTTGCTTATCTGTTTGGGGTCATTTTCCAGACCCTCCCTGGCCACCCGTACCTTCTGTTCTAGTTTACCCAATTATGTTCCTCAAAGACTGCAAAATTCTTAATTTCTTAGAGCCCGACAATGTATTATCATATCCTAGAAATACAGAGCATGTAACAGCCCTAAGCTTATTCTCCCCTGGAATCCATTCAGAGTCTGCTGCCCAGGAAGTGTCTATAAGAACCACTGTGGGAAAAGCGTCGGTAGTTTGAGAGGACTGCTCACCAGTCTCTCAGTGCCCCATCTTCTCTTAACCTTTGACATCCCTGCTTAGCCCCACGTCTGGTTGGTGAACTCCTACTTGTCTTTCTTGACTTGGGCCTCTCCTTCTCCGGGATGCCTTCCTTGACTCAAGTCAGGCAGAAATCAGGGTTTCCCTTTGCCAAGCTCCCAGCCCTTCCCACTGAGGCTTACCACACTCTGAACAAATCGTGTGCTTACCCAGCTCCTTGAGGCTGGGGCCTCCCAGCACCTAGCACAGAGCCCAGCACATCCACAGCAGTGAGTCAGTGACTGAGCCAAGTGAGGGATCTTCCCATCTCGCCTGATTGCCCCTTCTGGATTTCCAGGCGAGGACGAGGGAAGCGATTCGTCCTCCAAATGTTCTCTGTATGCTGACTCAGATGGTGAAAATGATAGCACCTCGGACTCAGAGAGTGGCAGCTCGTCCAGCTCCTCGTCTTCCTCATCTTCCTCCTCATCCTCCTCCTCGTCATCCTCATCTGAGTCTTCTGAAGAAGAAGAAGAGGAAGAAGAGCAGCCAGCAACCATCTCCTCAGTGTCGCCGCCACCTAGAGACGTCCCTGTGCCCCTGCCAGCACCTGTGGAGGAACCCAAGCCAGAGAGGATCGCAGGCTCCCCCGTCACACTGCTCCCTGAACAGAAGTCTCCAGCAAGGCCTGCAGGTAGGTGGTGTGAGCGACTACATTCAGCAGGTAGTTGGGTCAGTAGAGCTGAAGAAGGAGCAGTAGGCTGGAAGTGAGGTAGATATTTGAGAGTAGTGAAAGTATGGATGTGAAAATATGTGTGCCCTAGAACAGCCGTCGCCAACCTTTCGGACCTCGCGGACCACCAGTTGGCAACCGCTGCTCCAAAGGTTTCCTTAAACCAGCGGTTGCCAACCTTTCAGACCTCATGGACCACCAGTGGTCTGTGGACCACCGGTTGGCGACCGCTGCCCTAGAGGATGTTTGGGATGAGAGAAGGGGGCCAGAGCCCTATAGTCTTATAAGAGACAGGTGGGCGCCCTAACCGGTTTGGCTCAGTTGATAGAGCGTCGGCCTGCGGACTGAAGAGTCCCAGGTTCGATTCCTGTCAAGGGCATGTACCTTGGTTGCAGGCACATCCCCAGTAGGGGGTGTCCAAGAAGCAGCTGATCGATGTTTCTCATCTATGTTTCTAACTCTCTATCCCTCTCCTTTCCTCTCTGTAAAAAATCAATTAAATATATTTTTTAGAGAAAAAATAAGAAGAAAAAAGAGAGACAGGTGGGCAAAGGGGAGCCAGCAGAGGCTGAACAGGAGTGGTCAGATGGGCGGGAAGGAAAGTGGGAAGCTTGGAGTTTCTGAAGGAGGGAGTGGCTTGTATCAGCAGGTCACACGAGAGTCTGTACGATAGGAAAGGTGTCTGTTGGATTTGGCAGTTAGGTCACTGGTGACCTTATCAATTTCATAGAGTGGATCAGACTGAAGCCAAGTTATGGGAGTGAGGACAGGCAGTAGAGATAACCAATCTTCTGCGAGGGTAGACTAGTCTTGTGAACGAAAAGAGAGTTGAGGGTTGTAATTAGCATTTATTGAGTAATGAGCCTGTCACATTGCAATTTTATTTTCTCATTCAATTTTCATAACATTCTTTTTTAATATATTTTTATTTATTTCAGAGAGGAAGGGAGAAGGAGAGATAGAAACATCAATGATGAGAGAGAATCATTAATCGGCTGCCTCCTGCACATCCCTTACTGGGGATAGAGCCCAAAACCCAGGCATGTGCCCGTGACCAGAATTGAACCCAGGACCCTTTAGTCCACAGGCCGACACTCTATCCACTGAGCCAAACCAGCTAGGGCTTTTTTTTTTTTTTAATCCTCACCAGAGGATATTTTTTCCATTGATTTGCTGAGAGAGTGGCAGAAAGAAGGAAAGACAGAGAGAAACACCGATGTGAAAGAACCACATTGATTGGTTGCCTCCTGCATGCGCCCCGACCAGGGCCCGGGCTGGGGAGGAGCCTACAGCCTATGTACGTTCCCTTGACCAGAATTGAACCCGGGGCCCTTTGGTCCACAGGCCAGTGCTCTATCCACTGACCCAAATCAGCTAGGGCAATCCTCACAACATTCTTATTCCCATTTTACAGATGAGGACTTCGAGGTTTATTGAGATACTCATGTTACCCAGCTGGGATTGGAGAGACAGCAAGCAGCAGGGTTGTGGAGGGTTAGCTTTACAAAGTAGGTGAACTTGAGCATGTTCATACACTGAAGGGAACAGGGAGCAGGTAGATGAATTGGAGAGAGGAATGCTTGCTGGATTAGCATGGGGGGAAGGGGTGTACTCTAGGTCTGAGGCTAACCTATCTGTAAATAGGAGGTTTCATGCCTGAAGGCTCCTTTTTCACTTTGCAGTAGGAAAGTAGGACATTTTCTGAGGCTGAGGGGCTGGGTGGAGTAGGAGCCTTGGGAAGAGAAGAGAGTGGGAGTGAGGATGAAAGCTGACTGGATTTGCCACAACTCAGAAGCCCTGCTGAGGCTGGGGGTTATGGGTCAGGGAGGAGAGAGGGCCGGGTGGGGTAGATTCAGGATTGGGGGTCTACAGGGTAGAGGTGGTAGAAGGATGTAGGAAGTTCTGTGAAAGGAGAGGACAAAGTGAGGGCCCCTGCAATTAGGGCCTGAAAAAGAAAGAAGCTAACTTAGCAGGAGGGCGATAGGCTGGAGGGAGATAGAAGGGACATTGAAAAGGTCCAGTGGGCCCTGGCCAATGTGACTCAGTGGTTACAACGTCACCCTGCACCAAAGGGTCTCGGGTTCGATTCCTGGTCAAGGGCACATACCTGGGTTGCAGGTTTGATCCTTGCTCAGGGTCGGGGTGCATGTGGGAGGCAATCAATTGATGTAGTCTCTCAATCGGTGTTTCTCTCACTCTCCCCCCACCCTCCCTTCCACTCTCTGAAGAGCAATGGAAAAAATACCTTCAGTGGTGAGGATTAACAAAAAAAAAAAAAACAAGAAAAGGTTCAGACTGAAAGGACCTGGGGAATTGTGGTCAGAGGGTAAGGAGTGTAAGTTTCAAGGTGGAGCTATTCTAGAAGGTGACAAAGTCAGGTGTGTGACTGGAGGGTAGCTGAGGAGGAAGGAGGTTGCTGGAGATGTGAAATTGGGTAAGTCGGTGGGATATCAGAGTTCCGGAAATAGATGGCAAGGGTGGGAGAGGAGAAGGCAGATCCCTTAGTTTTTAGGAAATGATAGGGAAATGCAAGTTGCCAGGGACACACTGATGAGAGGACTGTGTGGTCCGATGGCAGGAGCCTGGGACAGGGTTTGTCTGGTGGAACCCACAGACGGACCTGCTGCCTTTAGGACTTGCTTTTCTTCTGTCTTCCAGTCTGGTTCATTCTTCTGCAGATGGACTTCCTCTGCCCCACAGACACACCCACTCCTGCGCTAGAGCCTTACTCTCAGGGAAGTTTCTGGTTGGGCTGGCTTGGGTCGGGTAGCCATCAGTTAATGAGGGTCAGTCATGCAGTAGAAACTGGCTTCTGGGAGTTGTGTCAACTAGGAAGGTGCCCCAAAAGCCCTCTCCCTAAGTGAAAGGCATGGCCTGGGAAACGTGTGCAGAAGCTGAGCCAGGAAGGGCATTTCTTCTCTGTAAGAGCCAGGCTCCTAGAGGAGGAGGGGCCCGAGGGGGAGGCTATCCCAAAACGTTGGAGAGAAGTGATGAGAGGACTCAACCTGGAGAACCTGGGACAAGCACCCCATGGCCTTGCTAGCTTCAGAGTGGACACCAGGTGGTGTCCAGAGCCTTGGGACATGCAGGCTGAGGGCTTTGCTGAGGTTGCCAGATTGGGGAGCATCTGCTCAGGCATGGACACGTGTGAAAACTGCCTGCTCGGGCCGGGCCTGGTGCCGGCTGCCTTCAGCTCTGAGTGGTGGAGCTAGATGTGAAACCACTGAGCCCCAGTGCGGAGCGTCCAGGTCAGCGTAGGGCCGTGGGGAAGAGGACAAACAGCTCTGCCTGCCGGGGGGCAGCTCTTACTCTGGCATTTGCCAGCTGTGTGACCTCGGCATGTTACTAACCTCTCGGCCTCGGTGTCCTTTTCTGTCAAATGGCTCAACAACAGTACCCATTCCCTAGGGTTGTTGTGAGAATTAAATGAGTTAATATATGTAAAGGGCTTGGGTTGGTGCTTGGCATCAAATATGAGCTATTAACCTGTTGCAGCCAACCAGAAGACAGACCATGGGGAGCCACCAGTCTTCTGGTTCTGAGAGGAAGGTGTTACCCATGTTTGAGGAAGTCAGGGGACCTTCACAAAGGAGGTGGCATTGAGCTGGGCCTCAAAGCTGCATGTCAGCTTTCCCAGCAGGCAAGGGGAGAGGCATTCCAAACCAAGGGAACCTGTAAGCAAAGGGCCAGAGGTCGGAAAGGCCATGCTGGGGTGGTGAAACCTGGATGAGAGGGCAAGGCGTGAGGATTGTCTGATGGGTCAGAACTGCAAGACGACTGCCCCAGGGAAAGGGCTGTTGTGTATTGAGCAGTGTTGAGACCCCTGCGATCTGCAGCAGACTTTACGGGGGCGGGCGGGGGGGGCAGCAGAGGAGGATGTGCTTCCTCCTGTGGCAGTTGTTGGAGAGACAGCATGGCCTGTTCAAGGATCGTTTCCCCTCCCTAACTGCCCCTCATCCTTGGATCTCAGCGTTACCTTCAGCTTCTTTAGGGGCACTTCTTGGCCCCTCCTCACTTGGGCGAACCCCCAGTGATGTTTGGGGGAAAGTGGGGACGAAGGCAAATTTTATAAAATATTTTACCACAAAGATTCAGCTTCTTATATTGTATCTTTTTCACCTCACTAAACAGAGAATACTGTTTGTGGTTGAAATGATGGATACTTTAATTCAGACCTGGCTCATTGTATCCTCGTAAATGCAGCTGGCAAAAATCGTCTGGGTCTGTGTGCCTGCTTGTCGGATGTAGTTCTGTCACCACCAGTCTTGGTAAAAAGGCTAGAGTCCGAGTGTTCGTCGCCGTAGAGCCCCCCCCACCCCCACTCTTCACAGTTTGGCTGTGCATTGTTTCATGTCATTGTGTCCATTGCACTTAAACTCCAAGTGCTGTGCAAGTGTCTGCTCCGTGTGTTCTCCATACCTGACACAGGTGGTGCTCAGGGCATGTGGGATGTGTGAGTGACAGGTGTAGAATCCCATCCTGGCCGTGCGGGTGAGAGGCAGGCAGCGTGTTCCCTGAGCGCAGGCGTGTCTGCTGGCAGCTGAGGAGAGCATGACTGCAGCCTGTTGAAGGGCAGCTGGGTGTGGACTCCCCGGTGAGGCTGGCCAGCCTCAAGCTCCTAACGAATCTCAGTCTCATGATGTTGGGCCAAGAAGCTGACCCTCTCCCTTCCCTGTGCTTCCTTCCCCAGGTGCCACTGAGGAACCAGCACCCAGTGTGCCCCAGCCTCCCCCAGAGCCCCCGGCTGGGCCCTCAGCCCCTGCTCCCTGCCCCGACGAGCGCCCCTCCTCTCCGATCCCCCTCTTGCCCCCACCCAAGAAACGCCGGAAAACCGTCTCCTTCTCTGCTGTGGAGGAAGTGCCAGCCCCAGAACCTTCCCCAGCTGCCCCACAGCAGGTCAAGGCTCCTGGCCCCATCTCCCGCAAAGCCCCCCGGGGCGTGGAGCGGACCATTCGCAATTTGCCCCTGGACCACGCATCTCTGGTCAAGAGTTGGCCCGAGGAGGTGTCCCGAGGAGGTCGGAGCCGGGCTGCAGGCCGAGGCCGCTCTACCGAGGAAGAGGAGGCTGAGCCAGGGACAGAAGTGGACCTGGCGGTGCTGGCCAACCTGGCCCTGACCCCAGCCCGACGTGGGTTGGCTGCCTTGCCTATTGGCGATGACTCAGAGGCCACAGAGACATCGGACGAGTCGGACCGCCTGGGCCCTCTGCTCAGCCACATCCTCCTGGAGCACAACTATGCCCTGGCCATCAAGCCTCAGCCCTTCATACCGTCCCCTCGGCCGCTGGAGCCAGTTCCTGCCCCTGCAGCCCTCTTCAGCTCCCCAGCAGATGAGGTCCTGGAGGCCCCTGAGGTGGTGGTAGCTGAGGCAGAGGAACCAAAGCAGCAGGAGGAGGGTGAGGAGGAGGAGGAGGAGGAGTCCGAGTCGTCTGAGAGCAGCAGCAGCAGCAGCAGCAACGGGGAGGGGGCTGTCCGGCGGCGCAGCCTCCGTTCCCACACTCGGCGCCGGAGGCCACCACCGCCACCCCCTCCCCCACCGCTTCCCACCTTTGAACCCCGCAGTGAGTTTGAGCAGATGACCATCCTGTATGACATTTGGAACTCAGGCCTGGATTCGGAGGACATGGGCTACCTGCGGCTCATGTATGAGCAGCTGCTGCAGCAGACGAGCGGGGCTGACTGGTTGAACGACACCCACTGGGTCCATCACACCAATATCCTGAGCCCGGAGGCTGCCTTCCCCGGACAGGAGGAGAGGCCGGGGGTGGGGCGGGCTCTCCTGAGGGCACTCAGCGGGGCAGTGTTCTCTTCAGACGCCTAGTGTCTGCGCTCCTCTTCCTCCCTGTCCACTTGTTTTCGCCACCGACCTTCAGCCTGGGTCCTTCTCCTCTGGCCACCTGGGTGTTTTCTCTCTGCCTCCTGCCTCTTGTCTGCCTCCCAGAATTTTTCTGGCAGAAAAGGTGGCCTAAGACTTATTTCTCTCATCTTTCTGTCCTCCTCATACCAAGTGCGCTCAGGGCCTCCAACAAAGGTCAGTTACCCTTTCCTTGGGCTGGGACTGGAGGGATGGGAGTGGGGCCCCAGGGACCTGGCCAGTGCGGAGCCCGTTCTCTTCCTTAACACACCCCGCACTCACCAACCTGAGCGCCCCCAGACGCAAGCGGCGGCCCCAGGACGGGCCCCGGGAGCACCAGACGGGCTCGGCCCGCAGCGAAGGCTACTACCCCATCAGCAAGAAGGAGAAGGACAGGTACCGGGACGTGTGCCCTGTCTCAGCCCGGCAGCTGGAAGGGGCGGACACTCAGGTGAGCCCTGCCCTGGCAGATGGCCCTCCGGCATCCTCTTCCCATTGCTGCTCCCGTCACTTACCTCCTCCGTCCTGCTCTCGCAGGGGACTAACCGTGTGCTTTCGGAGCGCCGATCTGAGCAGCGGCGGCTGCTGAGTGCCATTGGCACCTCCGCCATCATGGACAGTGATCTGCTGAAGCTAAACCAGCTCAAGGTGAGGAGCGGGGGCTCCAGCAGGAGAGAGACTCAGTGGAAGGGCAGCATCATGGGGTCCCCTAGGGTGCGGAGGGGTGAGTGGCTAGAGCACCCTCCTGCCCTGGAGAGCTGCAGGGAAGCCAGGGGACAGGTTGAGGGGGCATCCAGCAGCAGTCTGCCTTCTGCCCTCTAGTTCCGGAAGAAGAAGCTCCGATTCGGCCGGAGCCGGATCCACGAGTGGGGTCTGTTTGCCATGGAACCCATCGCAGCTGATGAGATGGTCATTGAATATGTGGGTCAGAACATCCGCCAGGTGAGGAGTCCCACACCCAGCTCCCAACCCACTGGCACCTTGGGATGCTGACATGAGACCCATCCCATCCTCTGGACAAAGCCCCACATACCCTCCTGCCTCCAAGGCTTAGCCATTGAAACCACTGCCTCCCTCCCTCCCTCCCTCCCTGCCTCCTTCCATCCCTCCCTCCCTCCTTCCCTTCCTCTCTCCCTCCCTCCCTTCTGTTCTAGTAATGGGTACTAGTAAAGCAGTAAACTAGATGTTAATGATGCAGCAAGAACCAAGGCTAATAGTATCTCTCCCTTTAAGGACCTCAGTTTAGTGGGGAAGACAGGCATTGAACAAGTAACTACAATAAAAGATGGTATTTGCTTGTTACAAAAGGGGAAGTTCAGAGAGACTGGGTGGTTGGAACACAGTGATGTTCACACCAGGAGCCTAAAGGATGTCGAACTCCCCAGGCTCAGGTGAGGGAGGTACAAGGAGGGCACTGTGGCTAATTGGAGAAACTTGGGTCAGGCAGGGACATACAGCAGGAGGGGCAGGGGAGGCCAGGCTCCCCAGAAGTTAGGAGCCACATGAATAAGTTTGGACCGGTGGTGAGAGAGGAGGAAAGTTGCTGTGAAGTGTTAAACAGGAGAGGACTTGGGAGGTTGTGGGCTCCCTCTGGCTGCAGTGTGAAGAGAGAACTAGAGACAGCAGTGCGGTGGGAGTGGGGGCTGTTGCAGAGCTCCCAGTCAAAGGTGGGGTTCCTGGGCTACGCAGTGGCAGCCAAGGTAGCAGGAGTCTGTGGGTCCAAGGTAGCTGGCAAGACAGGCAACCACGTTGGCTCTGCAGAGTGAGAGCAAGGGGGGCGGGTGAGGCCATTTCTCAGGGCGCTGCCTTTAACAGCTGGGAGTAGGAAGGGCTGCCAGTGAGGTGGGGCGTGAGGAGGAGGAGCAGATGTGTGATTCAGATGAGTTCCGATCGGAGCTTCTAGAGGAGGACACCCAGCAGCTCCTCTGAGGTGGCTTTGGCTGCAGATGGAAGTCTGGGAGGAGTCCCCAGCACCGAGCCAGCCGCTGAGGCCCTGGGAGAGATCATCCAAGGGAAGGGCGCGGAGGTTTTAGCGCCCGTTTTCTGGGAAATAGCAGTTGCTCCTCCTGCAAGAATCTGGGTCCTAATGCGGACAACCAGCAGCAGCCAGTGGGAGCCTTTTTTGGAGAGAGGGTCCTGGGAGGGGAGATGAGTAGATTCAGTCCGTGAAATGACCACTCATCTTGGGAAGTGCCACAGCCCCACGGTAGACGGGGGGCCAGGCAGACACTCCAGGAGCAGCCAGTGGCTGCTTCTGCCCAGTGCCCAGTGCCCATGTCCCTGGGGTCCTCTTGGGTGGCTGACAATGGCAGTGAAGGTGTCGGGCTGGCCACTAGAGGGAGGGCTCCTGGAAGCAGAGTCAGGAGTGTCCACAGGTTGGGTTAGTGGGAGCCAGAGAGAGCGCTGCGGATCCAGGACAGGTCACTGTGGCCCCAGGATGGCAGCTGAGAGGCTGCAGACCCCAGTCACAGAGGCTTCCCTCTGAGGGGCAGTCCCTGACCGTCGCCCCCCATCCTGCCAGATGGTGGCCGATATGAGGGAGAAGCGCTACGTGCAGGAGGGCATTGGCAGCAGCTACCTGTTCCGGGTGGACCACGACACCATCATCGATGCTACCAAGTGTGGCAACCTGGCGAGGTTCATCAACCACTGCTGCACGGTGCGCTGGGGCCTGGCCAGGGCGGTGGGGTCCAAGCAGAGGGCACACAGCTCACTCTGCTCCCTCCTGCAGCCCAACTGCTATGCCAAGGTGATCACCATCGAGTCCCAGAAGAAGATCGTGATTTACTCCAAGCAGCCCATCGGCGTGGACGAGGAGATCACCTACGACTACAAGTTTCCGCTGGAGGACAACAAGATCCCGTGTCTGTGCGGCACCGAGAGCTGCCGGGGCTCCCTCAACTGAGGTGGGCAGACGGGCGCCCACACCCCTATTTATTCCCCTTGGTGCCCTGAGCTCCCAGCACCCCAGCCTTAGTGGGCTCAGGAGGGCCCACATGCCCCCATCTCTGAATATGGAGTTGGGCCCCTGAGCCCTGCCAGGGAGCCTCAGTCCCTTAAGGCAGTGTCTGCCTCCCCTGTCACCCCTGCCACCCACCCCCTAATTTTTTTCTTTGCGGAGAAGAAGCTGTAAATGTTTTGTAGCTGCCAGAGCTGTTTCCTGTGGAAACCTGGGGTGCCAGCCTGTATAGATCCTGTTCTCGGGGCTGCACAGCCCTCTTGCTTTGTGTTCATGGGGACTTCCCTTCTGTGCCCTGCGTGCACCCCTCCCCAGTTTAGGGGTCTCTAGGGGCAGTGGCCATGTTCTCCCCCTGGGGAGGGGGGCCCTGTGCCTCCCAGTCCTGGGGACTCCGTGCCTGGAACCCTGCCTCATTTTTTGTTCCTGCCAGACCCTGTGGGTCACCCTTCTACCCTGGTGTCTGTAAGCTCTGGTTGGGCCAGGCCAGGATGGCGGGAGGAGCGGGCCCTTCCTGTTGGGCTGGATTGTACATGTTAACAGCAAAGACCCAATGCCACATTTTTATAATTGTGATTAAACTTTATTGTACAAAAAGTGCTTGGTCAGTATCTTTGGGAGAGTAGGGTGGGATGGGGGTTGAGGACAGGGTGGGGCAAGTGAAGAGGGGGAAATGGGTGGCCTGGAGTTGGGGTGGGTAGGGGGGCTATGGGGCAAGAACCCAGACCCGCAGACAGCCACCATTGCTCTGGGCCACCTGATAGGCTGGCACAGCCCCCTAGAAATCCCCAGCAAGGCCAGCCAGACCTGGCCAAGGTCAGGCCTCCCTTCCCAGAACCACAGCTGCTGCTGGGCTTCTGGCCTCCTGGGAAATCCAATATGAGGCAAGGACTGACATCATGCAGGCGTGAGGTCACTCTGCCTATTCCATCCCTTCCCCCAAGCCCCTCAGTGCCCATCCAGCAGGTTTTGGCTTTCCTGACCCCCTTCCCCAAGTTCTTGGCTGGAACCGGATGCCAGTGGAGCGCAGTGGCCACCAGGGGGGGCCCTGTGGCAAGAGAGTAGGAGAGGAGGGGTGGAGGCTGGGCTGGTCTGTTCCTGGAATGGCCAGGAGGGAGGAGCAAGCGGAAGGGGACAACCATTTATCGCTGGCCGGAAACGAGAGAAGACCAGCTCTGGTGGCTAGTTTGGGCACCCTGGGACTGTGGCTGCAGGTAGGCAGAGCTGATGTCTGAGGTCCTCTTCCCTAGCCCCAGCCCTGCCCACCTCCGTCTCTTCTCCCTCCCTCCTTCCCTCCCTCCCTCCCCCACTCTGTTTTTATCCCAGAACCTCCCCTCCACCTCAAACACTGAGTCCTTCCCGCAAGCCCTCACCATATCTCAGTAACCAGTTAGCAGGGTCAGAGGGCAGGTAGCCTGGCTGCTCACCCACTAGGAACAGTTGTGGCCCCTGGTCACTGCTCCAGTCCACTAGGCCAGAGGCCCCTTCAAGGAATAACCGGTGGGCTGCTGGTGCCGGGCAGGTCGCACACCGCAGGCAGCTCAGGTGAACCAGGGTCTCTCCCTAGCAGGACATGGCAGACTCGGCACAGGCCCAGAAGCTGGTATACCTGGTCACAGGTGGCTGTGGCTTCCTGGGGGAGCATGTGGTCCGAATGCTGCTGCAGCAGGAACCCCGGCTCCGTGAGCTGCGGATCTTTGACCTGCACCTGGGTCCCTGGCTGGAGGAGCTGAAGACAGGTGATCGTGGAGGGGAGCTGGGGGGAGGGTGTGGACTCCCTTCGCTGTGGTGGAAAGGGTGATGCCTGTTTGTGTTCTCCAGTGCGCAGGAATGGGGTGAGTGAGTCACACTGGAAACATGTGGCTCCCAGGGGTGTAGGCTGAACCAAACAGCTGATGTGGGCTCAGCTCTGACGTTGCCTCTGGTTGCCCTCCCGCTACCAGGGCCAGTGCAGGTGACCGCCATCCAGGGGGATGTGACCCAGGCCCACGAGGTGGCAGCGGCTGTGGCTGGAGCCCATGTGGTCATCCACACAGCCGGGCTGGTGGACGTGTTTGGGAGGGCCAGTCCTGAGACCATCCATGAGGTCAACGTGCAGGGTGAGATATCCCCCCGCTGTTCTAGTCACGTAATACCGGCCCATGGCCTGATTGTCTGTTTGTGTCCCTCCCCCCGCTCTGACCTTGACCTCTGTGATTCTCCTGCGTCAAACAGTCCTGTGTGCACTCCTGTCCCTGTAATAGAAGGCCAGCCCTCGCCAACCTGTGTGGCTTTCCCTGGGCCTGGGGAAGGAAGCCATATGCCTTCATCCAGATTGGGGATGGGAAGGGGAAAGGTACAGAGAGGGAGGAAGCTTCAGTTTGGACACACACCCCGCCTCCCCAGGCACGAAGAATGTGATTGAGGCTTGTGTGCAGACTGGAACACAGTTCCTGGTGTACACGAGCAGCATGGAAGTTGTGGGGCCCAACATCAAAGGCCACCCCTTCTACAGGTGAGCTGGGGTTCCCCCCCGATACTTTCAGAGCCCATCTCCCCTCAGCATTAAGAGTCTTCTCTCCCCCACTAGGGGCAATGAGGACACCCCCTATGAAGCAGTGCACAGACATCCCTATCCTTCCAGCAAGGCCCGAGCTGAGCAGCTGGTCCTGGAAGCCAATGGAAGGAAGGTGAGACGAGGAGCTGCAGAGCCACGGCCGGCTGGGCACCTCCTGGCTATTTCCAGCTTGAAGAGGGCAGGCCGCTGGGTCCTAGGTCTCAGCAGTGCCTACCTTTTGTTGCCAGGTCCGTGGGGGGCTGCCCTTGGTGACATGTGCTCTGCGTCCCACCGGCATCTATGGTGAAGGCCACCAGATCATGAGGGACATCTATTACCAGGGCCTGCGCCTGGGAGGCCGGCTCTTCCGGGCCATCCCAGCCTCTGTGGAGCACGGACGGGTCTATGTAGGTGAGGCCCGGGCCGGGCAGGGGGGAGGCTAAGAACCTGCATGGTTCTGGGAGGGGTGCCGTGTGTACCCTGCAGAGAAAAGAACAGCCTGTACATGGGCTAGGGTAGACGAGGAGGTGTGGGCCGCAGGGAAACAGTATCCTTGCAAGTTGGGAAGGCAGACACAACAGTCATAGGCTGAGGGAGAGGAGGGGGCAGCATCTACATGGGCCCAAAGAGGTGGCTTGTATGTGGGCTGGCCCGGGACAGCAGCAGCTACATGATCACGGGGACACTCGGGGGCATGTCCTCCCCACTCCCTCTGGCAGGCAACGTGGCCTGGATGCATGTGCTGGTGGCCCGGGAGCTACAGCAGCGACCGGCATTGATGGGTGGCCAGGTGTACTTCTGCTATGACAAGTCACCCTATAAGAGCTACGAGGACTTCAACATGGAGTTCCTGGGCCCCTGTGGACTACGGCTGGTGGGCACCCGCCCGCTGTTGCCCTACTGGCTACTGATGCTTCTGGCTGCCCTCAATGCCCTGCTGCAGTGGCTACTGCGGCCGCTTCTGCTCTATGCGCCCCTGCTCAACCCATACACCTTGGCTATGGCCAACACCACCTTCACCGTCAGCACTAACAAGGCTCAACGCCATTTTGGCTACGAGCCCCTGTTCTCATGGGAGGAGAGCCGGACCCGCACCATTCGCTGGATGCAGGCCATGGACAGTTCGGCCCAGTGACAGTGGAGCTGGGCCTGGAGCCCAGCGTAGCACATCCATCCAGGCCCCGATGGAGAGGGAAGGCTGCACTCTAGAGCTGGCGGGTCCGGAGCCAGACCGGCTGCCCTGGAGCCCTCATGCTAAGCCATGAGCACTGCGTCCGTGTCCTGCTGCCTCAGTTCTAGGGCAGGATGTCTTCGCTCTCATCCCAGGCCTGCTGTCTGGTTGGCGGGGTTGTGATTTCCCTGATGTTCTCACTGCCATCCCATTGGCTTTTCAAGCAGGAAGTGAGTACAAGTCCCACAGGCCTCCTGCTGGCCTCCTGCCGCCCAAGCAGGACCCTCGGGCCTGGGCTCAGAATGAAGAGGCTTTCTGGCTCCTCCTACCACCTCTGTCCCTCGGGGAGGGTCATATCCCCATTATTGTAAAACATTTATCACCTTAAGGTGTTTATCTTTTCATTCTCCTCAGTGAAAACTGAGGAAATCTGTATTTTCACTTCTTCCCACCCCTGTACCCAAATGTAGGTCCTGCAATATTGTGAGGTCTCTGCCTGAGGGTGCCCCAGAAACTCTGTACCTGCCCATGCCCTGGATTAAAACTCCTTTATCTACATCTGTGTCCAGTGCCTGCCCAGCTCCCTGGCCTGCCTCCCCGTGTCGCCCCTCCCCGCGGCGCCCGTCCCATTGGGGACAGAAGGAAGTGAGCACGCAGCACGCCCGCTGTTGGATTGGTTGCTATTTCTCCCGTTCCACGGGGCCCAACCCGGCCCAGGGTGGGGGTAGGGGGCTCTGGGGACAGGACATGCAGGGCTGGGGAGAGAGGGCAGAATTTTCCTGTGTTTTATCCATTTGCAACTTGGTCACCAATAGAGAGAAATGGGTCTCTGAGGGCGAACAGGAGAGGGCGGCCTGGCTCTGGGCCCCCAGCCAGGCCCCAAGAGTCCTGTCCCCTCTGGAGAGGCAAGGGAAAGAGCTCTAGAAACCAAAGGAGAAACAGAGGGGGCGGGGCTCATGTCAGCAAACACAGCTACATCACGTGACACGCCAGCGACACGGAAACACACGCCAACGCACACGGCTGCACAGCGGGCAGGGGGCAGGTGGGGTGGAAGGGACCGGGGGCCACCATCTTGTCCTTTGCGGGGCGGGCTGGGGGGCAGGGTGAATGCATAGAACACATCATGTACACACGCTCAAGGCGTGGCATGAGCGTGCATCGACCCACAGGCACATGGGATGGACACGCGCAGTGTGCTTTGTGAGAGGCAGAGCTAGGGCGAGAGGGGGAAGGGAAAGGGAAGCGGTGAGCCCTGGCCAGGCCCGGGACCACCCACGGGGCACACATGGTTGTAGGTGTGGAGGGTGGGCAGCACACACTCCTCCAAGACCACGTAAAAGACACCCCCCCAGACAACACTCCAGAACACACGGGACACAGCAGCCAACACGCAAACACATATGAGGCTGGGACTTGTGGAGGCTGGCGCACAGCAGACCTCGGGATCCTCTGGTCTGACGCTGGGATGGGCAGCTGTGGGCCTAATACCACGCCAGGAGGCAGCTGCCTGGCTCCAGCCTCCGGGTGGCCCCAAGGCTGTGGGAGTGCGGGAAACACCTGGGCGGAAGGGTGTCCTGGCCGGGCAACCGGAAGGAAAGAGGGAGCGGGGGGAAGTGCTGGGGTCCTCTCTGACGTCCCCAAAGAAGTGAGAAGGGAGCGGGAGGGCTGCCGGCAGACACAGGGCCACTTCCTGTCCTGCAGAAGGGCATTCTGGGAATGCAGTCGGGCACCCCTCTTCAGGACAGCACAGCTCGGGGTTTACATGTATTGGCCACACACAAGCAGAGCCCAAGCAGCCAGGCAGGGAAGAGCTGGCATGGGGGTGGGAGGGTACTGTGTCCCAGGTCACATCTGCATTGTCACACACACACACACACACACACACACACACACACACTTCACATAAAGTGGAATCCTGGGAAATGATCTGCACACAACCCTGAGTCCTTTACCCTTGCCCACCCCGAGGGCAGGGCACTTCCTGTACTTGGGTGTTCAGTCCTGTATATGTGGGTCCATGTTCCTCAGCCACGGAGTGCGGGGGCTTCTGACATCCTTCGCTCAGGTGCCTCCCATCAGCCACCAAACGCACGAACCCACATGAATGCCTCCTGGAAGGGCCAGCGTGAGAACGTTACTGATGAGGCCAGTGTGGAGAGGGACCCCAGACAGCTAGGGAATGTGCATGTGTCGCCTACACAAGGGAGGAGCTAGCCCTTTCCTCACCATCAGAAACCCAGGCCTGTGCCCACCCTCAGGCTCACCCTGGTTGGGGAGCAGCGATTGCAGACATTTCAGCAAATGTGTCCAGGGGATGGATCCCGGGACTTAGCCCATCCAGAGTGGCTGCTGCCACACTGGCCACTCCAGTGCACCTGCGACAAACAGCTCCCCAAACCAAGGTCCCTGAGACGGAGCCCAGAGCATCAAATGGGGCGAGGGAGACCCATATTCTGAGGTAAGTGTGCGGGAGGCAGGAATGCTCATTCCCTAGCTGTCTGGGGTCACTCTCCGCACTGGCCTCATCAGTAACGTTCTCACGCTGGCCCTTCCAGGAGGCATTCATGTGCAAATGGGGGCAGGCCTGTCGGGGCGCCATGCCCATGGTAGCATGCACGTGTGCTGCTGTGTGCCTGGGTGTGGTCACCTACACGAGGCCTCCTGAGCCTGGGCATGATGAGCACACGTGTCCCAGCCCTCACGGGTGCGGGCCTGTCCTCTGGCCGGGACACAGAGGAAAAGAAGCGCCTGGCTGTGTCAGGGCTCTGACACCTGGCAGGGCAGGACGCGCCAGTTGCACAATGTTGATGTTGCAGCGTGTGGCCATTACCAGATGCTGGCAGCAGCTCCGGGGAGAGAGGGAGGGGCAAATCAATCTGCATAGACAAGCCTGGATGGGGCGCGAGACCTTAAAGAGAAACGTGTGCGCATATATAAACGGGACCGAAACACCGTGGAGCAAGCCTCCGTGCCAGTGCACACACACGCTCACACGGACCGTCCACACAGCGTCCTGTGCCCGCCCAGCCGTGTCCAGGGCGCAGCATGGATGCTCTGTCTGGGGAGACCTGCCAGCACTTCAGGCAGATCCTGAGACACACACAGTTCTCGCATCATCAGCTGGGGAAATGCACATGTATATACAAGCCAAGCGAGGTTATTTATATGTGTATGCTTCCACTCACGTTGGCTCAACTCCAAGGCTCACCACACACACACACGCACGCACACACACACACACACACACACACACACACACTCTCCCCCGGGACCCAGGCCTGGGGTGACTAAACCAGGAAGATGTGCTCCACATCTCGGTGGGGTGCCTGCCATGGCCCGTGAACTTGGGCCTACCTGGATCCTTTGGGAAGGGCACGCACAACCTGCCCCGTTTGTAGCAGGTGTGGGGGAGGGGTGTCAGTGGAAGAAGTGCTATTGCATTAGATTCAAACACTCAAACACAAAATCCCATGTACACAAATTATGTGTCCACAGATCTGTGGACACACACACCTATTCACAGAAGACAGAGCAGGGCGTGGTGGGCTGCTGTGTGATCCCGGCCACAGTCTACACAACAACCGAGCGAAGGGGAAAGCTAAGACGACACACAGACAAGGTGGGGGCAAGAAGGGTGCTGTGGTGCTTCTACACACGTCTGTGAACGCACACACACACGCTGGGGTGTCCACTCGTCTCGAGCACGTGCCGGCGGCATGCATGTTGGTGTGCATGTGTAATCACGCCTGCTGCTATTTATGTGGGGGGAGGGTCCATGGTGCAGTGAGGTCCAGGGACTCCAGGGTCTGATGGGGGGGGTGGGGTAAGGAGAGGGCTGCCTGGGTCTGTCTTGGGGGTGAGCCTGGAGCAGGGGATGGAGTGAAAGGGGTAGTGGGGGTATTGCTCCCGATGTGGTGGGGGAAGGGTCTGGGGGAGGTAGGGGTGGTGGGCCTACAAGCCCAGCGTCCCCCCAATGGATGACGCCAAGACCACCCCCAGCACCACACAGCAAATGATGATCATGATTTTCTTCTGCAGGCAGAAAGGGCAATGGGACAGGAGGCGGCGAGAGGGGCAGTTTAAGAGAAAGAGAAACAGACAGAAAGATGGGGCGGGTGGGGTGTGAGGGAAAAGAAGAGGGGAGAGAAAACAGAAAAACCAAGAGGTCAGAGCCAGAGATAAGGCCTTTCAGGGAATTTCATCACTTGCCTCAGCCCTGGCCAGAGCCCCGCCCCACCCCGCCCCCCAGCTCCAGCCCAGCTGCCCACAGGCCCTCCCCGCCCCGCTCACCCTCCGGGCCTTGCTCTGATATCTCACGGCTTTCTTCGTGTCAGACACAGCTCGCTCCACGTAGTCCACGGAATGTTCCACGTTGTATTCAATTCGGTCAATCATCTCGCCCTGCAGAGGGTATGTGCATGGGGAGGCGTGGGCTGGGCTGGAAGAGGGAACCGGGGAGGGGGGCGGCTTCCACGTGGCGTGGCAGGGCAGAGGCCGTACCTGGCTTTCCACGAGCATGGCCATGTCCACAAACATGTCGTGCAGCTCGCGGATGCTGGTTTCCAGTTTGATGATCTCGTTGTGCCTCGTCTCGATCTCATTCAGCGCCTGCTTCGTCATCTGGGAGTCCATTTTGATCTAGGGCGATGCGGGGGGGCGGCTGCTGAAGACCACCCTTCACTCCGTAAGAGCTCAGAGCCGGCAGCCAGAGCACTGGGTCCAACCCTAGCTGTCACTCACTAGCTGCAACCCCGGGCAAACGATCTAACCTCTCCGGGCCTCAGTTTCCCCACCTAGAAAACGTGGGTAATAATAGTGCCCACCTCACGGTCGCTGTGAAGATTAGAGGAGTTAATATGTGCACATTGATAAGAACAGTGCCTGGCACACAGGAAGCACTAAAGACAAGTTTGTTAAATTACAAGAAATAACACTTGCCCCCAGCCCTCCACCTTAGCCCAGGGCCGCCTCTATCACACACACCACAGAAGCTCTGGGAAGGGAGACAGAGGTCCAAGGCCCCACCAGTATTCGGGCCCCTGTCTGGTCAAAGGAAGATAGAGAAATGGAAGAAGATACAGCAGAGAGAAAGGGGTGGGGGTGGGGGGGGTGGGGAGAGAACAGCAAGCAGAGAAGGAGGCCCAGGTGAGAAGGCAGGGTGCCCACAAGTCCCCTGGAGACTGTGACATGAGAAGGGGGAGAAACAATAAAGGGGTGCACTGGCGCCTCAAGAGTCGGTGGAGGAGAGACTCCTCCCCAAGATGCCCGGCCCGAGCCCGGCCGCTCCCTTCTCGGAGATTCACTGTTCAGACCACACCAAGCCGCTCCTCTGCTCTGAAACCTGCCAGGGCTCACACCTTTATCTTTTTAAAAAATATTTTTTTATTGATTTCAGAGAGGAAGGGAGAGGGACAGAGAGATAGGAACGTCAATGATGAGAGAGACTCATTGATCGGCTGCCTCCTGCACACCTCCTACTGGGGATCGAGTCTGAAACTGGGGCATGTGCCCTTGACCGGAATCGAACCCAGGACCCTTCAGTCTGCAGGCCGACGCTCTATCCACTGAGCCAAACCGGTCAGGGCCACACCTTTATCTTAGCAGTCAAGGCCCAGGCTCCTTTTCTACCCTCATCATTTTCTACCCAACAGGAGCCAAAATCATCCAATGGCTGTTTGGTAAGTGGTCCACTCTCCCTGTCTTTGTCCAGTCTGTTCCTTTGTCTAGGGCAGTGGTTCTCAACCTTCCTAACGCCGCGACCCTTTAATACAGTTCCTCATGTTGTGGTGACCCCCAATTTCATTGTTACAAACTGAACATAATTAAAGCATAGTGATTAATCACAAAAACAATATGTAATTATATATGTGTTTTCCGATGGTCTTAGGCGACCCCTGTGAAAGGGTTGTTTGACCTCCAAAGGGGTTGAGACCCACAGGTTGAGAACCGCTGGTCTAGAGTGTCCTTTGCCCAAACGCTCCTTGTCTCTTAAGGCTCAGCTCAATGCCACTTCCCAGGAAGCCTTCCCTGACTGTAGAAGTCAACTACCACAGCGCCTGTCTGCATCTTGCACAGCCCTCAAGCAAGGTGTCAAACCACCCTGCATTGGCTGGTTAACTGGCAGGGCTCAGCTCTGCCTTCTTAGGACCACTCACCAGCTTCCCTCGGTCCTCAGACAGACAGACAGCCTAGCAGAGCTGCCTGAGAGCTCCAGGCTAGTTGCCCACAATCAATTTGCTAGAAGCTAATTTAACAAAGGCCAGTTATCTAAGGAACAAAATGCTAGAAAGTCCCTGAACATACTTTAACCTGGTCTAGAAACCTTACGTAGAACCATTCCACCACCAGAAGCATAAATAGACAGAACTGGCAGGCCAGGGTAAAATTCAAAAGAGAAAGAGCCATTCCACCACCAGAAGCATAAATAGAACTGGCAGGCCAGGGTAAAATTCAAAAGAGAAAGAAGAACTACAGCTGGGGGAAGCCCATCCATTCACATACAAGATGACAAGGGCAGGACAGTGTGCAAAACTAAAACAGGGTTTTTTAGAAATTTTCAAAAGGCAGGCACATTAGTCATTGGGTGAAAGAGCCTGCGTCAGTAGGGCGTTCTGCATCTTACCACCGAAGAGTCCGGATCTGCACCTCCACCGTGGATTCCAATACTGGCTCTGCCCCCAGCTATGTGACCTCACCTAGTTACTTAACCTCTTTGGGCACCATTTCCTCCCCCGTGAAATGTGGCTCCCTCAGAGGGCTGTGGTGAGGACTGAATGAGGTTAGTAGGTAAATGTGAATGTGTAAAGTGCTTAAAACAGCGCGTGGCACACTACTGTTTGCCATTTCATGGGGGTGCCTTCCTGCTCTGCTCCCATGGATTCCCCAGCTCCGGATCCAGGCCTTGCGATGCCAGTTATTCCAGGTGGACTTAGGCCCTTCAGTCTAACCTACGTTTGGGGAGGAGGTGCAACTGCTTTACAGAACAGACCCACCCCCGCCCGCGCTCACATCATCAGTGAAGATGGCCAACTTCCCGCTCTCCAGCATGTCTTCCAGTTCTTCGTTGGTTGTGGTCCTTCCGGCTGTGGGGAGGAAGGACTCCATGCTCAGGGGCCGGGCCAGCCTGCGCTGAGGCGGTGGGATGGGGCAGGGACCCGGGACACCACCCTCCCCTGGGGCCCTAGGCCAGGCGCCCCTCCACCGAGAGGAAGGGCCTGGAAGGAGGCTTGGGCAGGCCTGGGGAGTCTGGAGGGGAGGCGCACGCACTGATCTCCAGCTGCCGCTGGATCCTGTCCTTGCAGCGGTCCCTGTACTTGGACTGGGTCGCGTTATATTCGGTCATTACTTCCACGAACTTCCGGGAGAGTGTAGAATGCTGGGGTGGGGGTACACACATCAGGAGGCAGGGAGCAGAGACCAAGGGGGAGCCGTTAGTGCACAGGTGGAGTGGGGAGGAGGGGTGATCACGCCCCACCCCAATCCCTCACCAGAGCACAGTCCCCTGCCGCTGGTCTCCCTATCTTACGCCCAAACCAGCGGCGGCCGGGGCCAGGGCATTAGGATGTGACC